AAGTTTTTAACTCAGCAAAACAAAAAACTGTATTATAAGCAATGAAAAGATGTCTTCCTATTTTTGCTATTCATAAATTTTCTAGCAATATTTAAATTTTAATGTCATCTAATGGAAATGAGATAGGACAGCTTTTGATAGGATACTTGCACTTCACTTACTTATTTCTTAATTACTAAATTACTAAAACTGCATTGAACATATTCTAAAATCAATTTATGTCAGTTCACATCTTCTTTACTCTTGTTGATCCTATAGGAATACCACTTCCCATTCAGTAGGAATACAAAATATTTTACTATTTTCTTGAGCAGCTTTGTCTAAGGTTATCAATAGTCTCCTACCTGTCAGATCTGAATGGCTTTTCCTCAGCCCTTACCTTTGCTGACCACTGGACATCATCAATTGGATATGTGTGCCATAAGGCATCTCAGATTCCATATGTCCAAAGGAGAAACAATTTTCTTTTTCCCCAAAATCTACTCTTTTCAAACTTCTCTAATTCTGTCAAAGGTCATACCATCTTTCAAATCACTCAGGTCTGTAACCTGGGAGTCATTCTAGAGTCTTCATTCCCCCTCAACCTCCACATCCAATCAGCTGCCAAGTCTTGTTGATTCTATCTCCACAATACACCTTGTGTAGCTGCCTGCTTCTTTCCACCCATATGGTTACTACCTAGCTCAGGCCCTCATTAACCATCACGAGGACTACTGCAATAACTTTCTAACTGGTCTATTTGCTTTCAGTCTGTCCTTTCACCCATTACCCTCAGCACAGCTTTTTTTTTTTTAATCCTTGGAAGAGTGTTTTTTTGGTTTGTTTGGTTTTTGGTATCCATGAACGTGGTTTTATTTTTACTCACTTTTTTCTTTATTATTTATTTATTTTAGTTTTCAGCATTTGTTTCCACAAGATTTTGCGTTCCAAATTTTCTCCCCATATCGCCCCTCTCCCCACCCCAAGATGGCGTGCATTCTGAATACCCTTTCCCCTTATCTGCCCTCTCTTCTATCTGCCCCCCGCCCCTTATCCCCTTTCCCTTCTATTTTCCTGTTGGGCAGGATACATTTCTATACCCCACTGCCTATACATCTTATTTCCCAGTTGCATATGAAAACATCTTTTAACATTTGTTTTTAAAGCTTTGGGTTCCAAATTCTCTCTCTTACTCCCTCCCCACCCACTGTCATTAAGATGGCAAGCAACTTGATACAGGTTATACATGTATAGTCATGCAAAACATTTCCATAGTGGTCATGTTGTGAAAACTAACTATATTTCCCTTCATCCTATTCTACCCCCTATTTATTCTATTCTCTCTTTTGACCCTGTCCCTCCTCAGAAGTGTTTGCTTCTGATTAGCCCCTCCCCCAATCTGTCCTCCCCTCTATTATCTCCCTACTTTCTTATCCCCTTCCCTCCCTATTTTTCTGTAGGGTAAGACAGATTTCCATGCCCAACTGAGTATGTATGTTATTCTCTCCTTAAGTCAAATCCAATATGAATGAGATTCACTCATTTCCTCTCACTTTCCCCCACTTACCTTCCACTATAAAAGCTTTCTCTTGTCTGCTTTATGTAAGAAAATTTACCCCATTTTACCTTTCCCTTTCTCCTTCTTCCAGTATAATCCTTTCTCACCCCTTAATTTTATTTTTAGATATCACCCCTTCATTTTCAACTCACCCTGTGCCCTCTCTCTCTCTCTCTCTCTCTCTCTCTCTCTCTCTCTCTCTCTCTCTCTCTCTCTCTCTCTCTCTCCCTCCCTCCCCTCCATATATTTTTTCCCTCCAACTACCCTAATACTGACAAAGGTTTCATGAGTTACAAATATTATCTTTCCATCTGGGAATGTAAACAATTCAACTTTAATAAGTCCCTTAAGATTTTTCTTTCCTGTTTACCTTCTCATGCTTCTTTTGAGTCTTGTGTTTTAAAGTCAAATTTTCTACTCAGCTCTGGTCTTTTCATCAAGAATGCTTGAAAGTCCTCTATTTCACTGAATATCTATTTTTTCCCCTGAAAGATTATACTCAGTTTTGCTGGGTAGGTGATTCTTGGTTGTAATCCTATCTCCTTTGCCCTCCAGAATATTATATTCCATGCCCTGTGGTCTCTTAATGTAGAAGCTGCTAAATCATGTGTTATCCTGATTGTGTTTCCACAGTACTTGAATTGTTTCTTTCTGGCTGCTTGCAATATTTTCTCCTTGACCTGGGAACTCGGGAATTTTACTATAACATTCCTAGGAGTTTTCCTTTGGGGATCTCTTTCAGGAGGTGATCAGTGGATTCTTTCCATTTCTATTTTACCCTCTGGTTCTAGAATATCAGGGCAGTTTTCCTTGATAATTTCTTGAAAGATGATGTCTAGGCTCTTTTTTTGATCATGGCTTTCAGATAGTCCAATAATTTTTAAATTATCTCTCCTGGATCTATTTTCCAGGTCAGTTGTTTTTCCAATGAGATATTTCACATTGTCTTCTATTTTTTCATTCTTTTGGTTTTGTTTTACAATGTCTTGATTTCTCATAAAGTCACTAGCTTCCAATTGCTCCATTCTAATTTTTAAGGAAGTATTTTCTTCAGTGAGCTTTTGGACTTCCTTTTCCATTTGGCCAATTCTGCTTTTTAAGGCATTCTTCTCCTCATTGGCTTTTTGGACCTCTTTTGCCATTTGGGTTAGGCTATTTTTTAAGGTGTTATTTTCTTCAGTATTTTTTTGGGTCTCCTTTAGCAAGCTGTTGACTTGTTTTTCATGATTTTCTTTTATCACTCTCATTTCTCTTCCCAGTTTTTCCTCTACTTCTCTTACTTGTTCCTCAAAATCCTTTTTGAGTTCTTCTATAGGCTGTGACCAATTCATATTTTTCTTGGAGGCTTTGGAGGTAGAAGCTTTGACTTTGTTGTCTTCTTCTGCTTGTATGTTTTGATCTTCTCTGTCACCAAAGTACGATTCTATGTTCTGCCTTTTTTTTTTGTGAAGTTTGCTCATGATCCCAGCCAATTACCTGAGTTATAAACTCTGTTAAGGTAGGTATCTGCTTCTAGTGTGGAGCATGTACTGTCCCAGGCTTCAGGGGTTTTGCGCAGCTGTTTTCAGAGATACTTCTAGGGACTTGGAAATTTTCAGTTCTTCCAAGGTGGTATGATCAAGGGTGCAGTGTTTACTCCTTTCCTAGCCTGTGCTCTGGTCTATGAGGGACCACAAACACTCCTTTCTACCCTGGAACCATGAAGGGGAGTCCCTCTCCAACACCACCACAAGCTCTAACACACCAGCACTCCTCCTCACCCCAGGACCACCTCCCAGAACTGTGATCCAGATCCAAGCACGGACAAAGCAAGAGAATCCTGCCTCAGCACCAGCAAAGAGATCCCTGCAATCCCCCTCTGATCAGACACTTGATCTCCCCTTTGTCTGCGGGCCGGTAGCTCTGGAAGCAGCCGCAGCCCTGGGTCTGTGCCAGGATTAGGGCTGAGACTGAGCTCCTCCCCCAGCACAGTCACAGACCTCTCCTACTGACCTTCTAAGTTGTCTTTGGCATTTGTGAGTTGAGAAGTCTGGAAACCTCCACAGCTCCCCTTGATTCAGGCCCCTGAGGACTGCTCCAGTTTTGCTGAGGCCCTGTCTTTGTGCAATCCACACTAAACTGTGCTCCTCTCCCAGCCCTGTGCAATAGACCTTTCCAATCAACCACCCAGGTTGTCTTGGGCTGGAAATCTTTTTGTGGGTTCTGCTGCTCTATAGGAAACTAATACTGAACACCACTCTAACTCCACTGAAATGACTGCATATGTTTTGTATGATATATGTCCAGACTGTTTCCACCCAGTAGAATGCCAGCTCCTTCAGAGCAGGGGCTATTTCAGTTTTGTCTTTATATCCCCAGTGCTTGGCACAGTATCTGTCACATAATAGTTGTTCAATAAATGCCTGCTGATTGAAGAAGTATATATTGCAGAAAATTACTTCCTCCACTGAATGACTAGGCCAAGTAGCTTAAAAGACTTCAGAGTCAAAGACTGCAGGTTAACAGGCTGAGGATACTTTGGCATGAAGCCCGGGGCAAACATGGTGCAGAAGAGTCACAATAACACAAATTTAAATTCTTCACTACATGCAGTCAGTCAAGAAGCATGTATCAAATGCCAGCTGTGGGCTAGGTACTATGCTAAGGTGCCAGGGATAAAAACAAATGCAAGACAGAGTTCTTGCCCTCAAGGAGCTTCCAGGTGTCTGTCCCATGGAGGACTTCAGAATCCAATCAACAATGTCTCAGGGACCCTAGAGCATTGTCTTTACTGTAAAACTATTAAATCTGTTTGTAATTTGCCTCTATCTTCTTCCACCTATGTCTCACTGAATATGACTTTAGCTGAAGACATAAAAATGAAAAAAAAAACCAACCCCAAGTTATTTGGACTTTAATATTTCAGGTGTATGTCACACGAAAAGATACTAAGGTTCTAAATTTTATTTCCTAAAAGTAACTGAATTTCAAAACAATTTGAATGAGAAGTACTGAACTGTTCAAATGAGATGAAAAACATGGGTAGGATAGTAGTCCAATGCCCATGATGGCAGCTTCTCTAACCTCTTTCTCATTGTATCTTTCTTTCACTTCACAGAATGAAGAAATCAGGGGAGATGAAGGGCAGGTAGAGGGACTGAAACCTGACTGGGAAAGACAAACATAGGAAACTACTAGTATGGTCTTTTGAGACGCATTCAGGTCCACTGTCATCACTCCTCATATCTCATTATCCATGGATTAATGAAAACTGAATGGTTTCTGATAAGCACGATTTAGCTTTAAGAGTAGAGAAAATCTGAGGAATACAAATGCAGATAAAATGCAAAATTAACAATAATCAAGCACTTACTAATAGCCAAAAGAGTAAACACAATATTTTCTACTTCAATTTTAAGGAGAAGATATCCTTAAAGTTACCACTTATCACACTGTAAAATTTTAATTTATAATTATTATTTACCTATTGGGCTAAACACATGCATCCGCATGCCTGAAGGCAGCTTTTTATCAGAGAGGTGGATATTCTCAATCTTCTGATCAGTGGTATTCTTTAATGTCACTTGCACTGAGACCATCTGATCACCAAAAATGCAAGGCTGTCTTGGAAAGTGATAACTGGCAGCTAATCCTTTGCCACTCATTCGATGAAGCAGCTCATGGGTCTTCATTGGCACAAAGACTGGAGTACTAACCTGTTAACAAGAAAGAGATTTTTAAATTAATGAATAACAGACTAAATAGTTTTCAAGGAATATAGAGTTAAATGGCCAGTTAAAGGATATTTATTCCTATAAACATGTCACTGACTATTAGATGTCACAGCAATCAACACTAGTAGAAAAAGGATTACAAAAAAAATAGTAAGTTGAGAAACATCAAAATTAAAGAGCAAAGAAGTATAAAAAGAATACCTTCAAAGTAACTATTAAATAATCTTTGCATTATAATTGCTAAGAGTAGCTGACATTTATATAGTGCTTTAAGGTTTACAAAGTGCTTGATATTTATTATCTCATTTGAATATTACAACAACAGGCAAAAATAATTTATCTACCTCTATTATTCTGACAATAGTCATGGGCAAATACTACTGAGAAATGAGCCTTCAAAGTGTTTATTAAACTAGGCCTAATTTTCAGCCTGTGTAATATTGCCATTAAGATCAAAGGCTAATGGAAAGAAAAAACCTAAAGTTGAAAATTAAATTTTTTCAAGCGTTGCCTTTCTGATGAAGTCGATGAGCTCTTGTCTTCCTGGTATAACTTCCCATTATTTCTTGTGTCTTCTCCCTCCCATACCCCCAACAACAACAACAACAACAACAACAAATTAGAAAGTACTGTCAGAAATGGCAATATTCATTTCCATCATTGTCTGTAGTGCTTTAAATATGTGTGTGTGTGCTTGCATATATGTGTGTGTATATATGTGTATGTGTGTGTGAGCATGCCAGGAAACCATTTAAGTGCTAACTATCCATCAAAACTCTGCAACTAAAATAAGCTTAATGCTCCTCACAGGCATTATTCGAAGGCTAAGCTGATTTTAATCACTTTGGGATTATAACAGACTATGTTCAATACTTTTTCCTAAGAAATCTCACCCAATCTAACTAGTGTCTTGTTGCCTATCATCATTATCACAGATATAAAATCCTTATTAAACTTCCAAGCACTTTCACCATGCTAAATTTTTAGTGTTTTTACCATTCATGATTACATTATTACAAATGAACATCACATCCAATACTGAAATATTCACACTGAGCAATATATAAGGAAAGCACCCAGCAAAGTGACCTACACATAGTAGGTGCTCAATGAATAGCTGCTGCATATGGAATATACTGAAAGGAGAGTTCATGCCCTTTGGAGAAATTTTAGAAAGATTACACTAATATAATTGCATCTTAATTTTCACCAATAATACACTTTCACTTTATTCTACTTGTCCAACCTCTAAGAATAGAATTATCAGCATTACTCTGCTTAGGCATTTATAAAACACTTTACTTCTGCAAAACAGCTAACTCAATTATTGTCTCATTAACTTCCATTTCCTGTAATGTTAAGGATGGCATTAGGCCCATTCATTCTATCTGTAGCCTTTTTGATGAGGATGATAACAATAACTTTACATCTATATGATGACTTACAGTTTCAAAGCACTTCCTTTGGTAAGGCCAAGATATTTAAAATGCGTATCTATCCTTCTATTCAAACTAGTTTTGTTTTGTTTTTTTAATTCTTGTGGACTTTCAGCATAATCATGAAGCAAAAAATCTTCCCAGAGCTTATTGTAGGATGAGATTTTTCTGGATATGTAGAAGCATGTCAGTAATAGTGAAGGAAGGTGGAGGAAATAACCCAGGCTAGAAATTTGGGAGGATGCAGTTGGCCTAAAAATGAAAGGGGCAAGAGATCCAAAGTACCAGACAAAGGAGTGATGGAGAACAGGGAGGGAAAGAGAGTGGACAAAGAACAGACTCAAGGGATGGGAGGCTGAGAGTGAAACAGAGAAGACAGACATTTCACAGCTGTTGATCATAAAGGAAAAAGTCTGGACTCACAGGAGGGTTGATCTAAGGTACACCCATTCTTTTGGATGACATAAGGAAAATGGAGATAGGAGGTGATTATAGTTATAGATCTAGGTAGTTGCAGAGAGAGGTAATTAGCTACAGAACTGGGAAGTCAGTATGCTTGAAAGGACAGCAACGTGCCAACTGAAGTCTCACAGAATGAGAACAGGGGTTGGAGTGGATAAGATTTACAAACTAGGTGCTAAACGACTTGAAAAAGAAAAGTGATAATGGTAGATGAAAGCAAAAAGGGTTAGAGAAGTTAATCTAAACTTATGGAATGAAGCTCAAAGGTTTCGAGGGTGCAGAGTGATGGTGGTGAGGGGAGGCTCTGGACATAACAGCGGGGAAGAAGGAGCACACCAACCCCTTTTCTTAGCCTGGTGTGTCCAGGAGCATGTGAAGAGAAACTAAGAGTGCAGCATGTGGGCTAGGGTTATTTAAAAGCTTACTGCTTGTATGCATGTGTGCATGAATGAAAAGAAGTACCCCAAATAGCTTTTTTTTTAATAGATGCAATAGACCAAAGAGATGAGACTACAGATAGAAGTAAATGACTTTTTTGATTTAGCAAATGGGACTGAATGATAAGAATCAGAGAACCAATCAATGAATCAATCAACAGGTATTTTATTAAGCGTCTACTATATGTCAGGCACTGTTCTAGGTGTTGGGGGTACAGATACAAAAGTGAGAATAATCTTTGCCCTCTAGAAACTGATATTCTACTAAAGGTAAACACAGCTATGCAAACAGAGTGTATACATAAAAAATAAATACACAGGAATCTAAAGGGAGAACACTAACGATGTGGAGGATAGGCAACAAGGCTCCTTCCCTTACGTAAGGTCTATCCTGAACTTGGAGGGACTAATGCCTTTGTTTCTTAGAAATTACTTTGTATTAACTTTTAAAATATTTTGATTCATTTATCAGGCCACTTAACATCCAGAGGACTCAGTTTCCTCCTCTGTAAAACTGTAGGTACATTATCCAAAGTCACATAATAAAAGGGTAATCATTCTTCATCCAGCCCTTTCTATACTACGCTGTCCTGGTCCTTACTAAATTACATTTTACGTTCCTGGTAAAACGCTTTTTTCAAAAACATGGTATTTAATTCACCAAAACTGGACTATTAAGACACAAACACAGGGATGGGGATCGGCCCTGCAATTTCACTGTCAGAGGGGACCCCTGGGATGAGAACATTGTCTCTACCAATATAGGTTGGCAACTTCTCTGTAAATTATACTCTCAGAGAGATGGGTAGAGCACTAAGAGGTTAAATGACTTGTCCAGGGTCACACAGCCAACATGTCCGAAGAAAGACTTCAACCCAGGTCTCCCTGGCTTTGGAACTAGCTCTCTAAAAGGAACTATCATAAGGATACAGTGTCTGAAATCCTTAGCTTATGTTTCATTTTTTAAACTTTCGATGTGAAACGAAAGCATCAAAGCATCAAAAATTTGAACTCAATCTTAATATGGATTGGGCCTACTGTGATTCTTGAAGATGTGATTAGTCTGGTAATTGCAGTTACTTTAAAATAAAAACCTTCCCCCAAGAGTTAACAGAACAAGAAATATCTAGCAACAATAAGATAACCCACCACAAATCTTTACACAGCGTATGTTTAAATAATAAAAAAGTCGTTTGTGTACCTTTGGATGGTTTAAGAAAATAACCAATCAATTCTGCAGACACAACATTATTTCTAAAGGAAATCTATGTGACTCATGATGCCTGTAGATACACAGAGACAAACCACACATATTTTATCAGTTTATTACAGTAAGCAAATAAGCGTGGAATGAGAGTGCACATAACTGTCTACTTAGCGCTTACTGAAACATTTATAAGAGCTGTTATCTCCCTAATAACAGACAGACAGCGTGCAATTTTAGAGAGGAGAAAAGCTTCATATTTTTTAACACTTCACTAAAAAGTAACTGAAGAGTGTAAAATGAAAAATACTCTGTGCAGTTAGCTGGTAATGGACCATATTATCAACTCAAGTTAGATTTATAGGATACAAACTAGTCACTAATAGTTATTTTATGACATAGCATGTCTGCTTTTTTTTTTGAGATTATTAAGATTAAAGTTGTAAAACTTTTTTGAATACAGCTATTCAAAATGATTGAATTATAAAATTTAAAATGAGAATTGAAAAAATAAAACATGGAATATCAAAGTAGCTGCTTAGGAATGAAGCTTATTTAACATTACCCTTAATATCTAAAAGAAAGTACTTTTATACAAAGCTTTCTGTAAATAATAGTATTACTTTATTTTATGCTCTAAATATGATTAACTTTATTAGTATTAATTAGTTAATGGCACTTACTAACAATAATTTTAAATGCTTTCTGGTTTCTAAAATTCAAAAACATGAAAACATTACAGGATAAAGAAAATTCCTCTGTTTGACTCATTTTATTCCTGGAATCTGTTTAGGTTTGTGATTTGTAAAAATGACCAAGTGCCAACAAGACTATGAATAGGGATACATTCTCATCTTTACATGAATGGTTCTAACTAAACACAATGTACACTGTGCCTCAATTTGTAAAGAGCCGTAATGTAAAAAAAAATCATAGTACTGTCACATCATCCTTTATACAGAAAATGTGCAGAGCAGGACTCTTCTATCTTCAATACCCTATAATCAGCCTGGTATGTAATAAAGGACTTTAAGATGGGCCCAAATGGCTGTATCCCTAACTGCAAAGATGAAGGTAAGACAAAGAATCAGCTAATTTGAATTTCCTATCAAATACTGCTTTATATAAATGGTTAGAACTAGACAACTGAGTGTAAAGGAAAGTTCACCGAGTCTGGATTTGGAAGCCTTAATTTTAATCTCTGTCATTTACAAAGTGTATAAGCTTAGGTAAGTCACTTAACATCTCTCCTCTCAGGGCTTCAGTACCATCATCTTTAAAAGGAGGGGGGGTTAGACGAGATGACCTCTAAGGTCCATTTTAGCTCTAATATTCTGCAATAATATGATTGTATCTCTTTTATTTAGCTAAATTTGAAAAAAAAAGTATAAAGCAATTGTGATAATTGCCATAAGTCAATTCAACAGTTTAATAAAAGGTTTT